CATGTTCCTTTGAACATCAACCACTTCAATAGCCTCAGAGTCTGCCATTGAATAATTGTAGTAGTTCTTGTCATCTTAGTAGATATTTTCACTTTTCTTATTCTGGTAACCATGAGAAACCAAATTCTTGTCCTTTTCTCCAAGATTTTTGTAAGGCTTTTTGTTATGCATGCATAAATTGTGTTTGGTAATATATTTTTTTTACTTCCTTATAAGCTAGTTTAACTATTAAAATTTTACTTATGTGTACATGTCCATTTAATTAGGAATTTTTTTTAGTATTTGTGGAGAAATTTCTTTAGTAGATTGATTTGATCAACATTGAGTTGATAAGTCAAATTTTGGGTTAAACATTTAAATTGGGTATCATTGACCTTTAACTAATCATTAAATGAATAATAGTAATTGATTTGGGTATATTATTGAATCTTTATTCAAAAATTATGGAGTGTCATTTTTATTTATCATTTTTTAATTAAAAAATTAATTTGACTAAAATAAACTTATGATAATCAAGGATTTATTTTAATAACTTATAGTTTATTTTTATAAATTAATTGAAGAAAGTTATATAAGTTATAATAAGTTCTTAGGTTTTTTTTTTACTCTTTTATTCTCATTAATTCACTTAAAAATTATCTTTTTTTAAATATTTTTTTTGTCTACATGTTATTTGTTAACTCTCGTCAAATAAATAAATATGTAATTTTACATTAATTAGTTAGTTTATTAGTTAATATTAACAAATACTTTCACTTCAATTAGATAATTTATAAACTTTTAACTTTTAAACTCCTTACTAGCTTATAACCTATAAATTTTATAAACTAATTTTGTCGAACACATTCATAGATTGAATTTGAAAAATAAGATATTAAAAAGAGCTTTTACATATAAAAAAAAAGTCATAAATATATGGGATTTATGTAGTAGTAATAATTTCTTTTACATAAAATCCTCGATATCATTTTTATTTAAATAGTAGGAGATTTGTGACAATTTTAGAATATACGAGATAATTTTGATAGTTTGTAAGAAAAAATGACAAATTTTGAATTTAGTAGGATATGAGAATATGTTGGAAATATTTAGATTTTGGATGTAATTTGATACTTTGATGGTGAGTTTTGAGCAAATGAAAGTTTAAAATAATTTAATCAATTCAATTTACGAATATATATTATACATAAAATGGAATTTTGAGAGTTTTAAACAAAAGGAAAGCGATGGAAAGACTTAATTGTTACTATTCAAATTGGCTCAAAAAAATTATTAGAAAATCAAAATCACTCATTAACAATATAATATAAACACTCAAATTAATCATTAAAATTGGTCTAATAATACAGAGTTAGAATAATATCTATGAAATTTTAATTCAATTTTTATTGTTTTATTATTTTCTATAGATAAAAAGAAGAAAAAAAACACTCAAATTGTAATGAAGTCAAGAAGATGCACAAAAAATTATGTAAATTAACAAAGTTTCATCGATTCATTGTTTTATTATTATTCATTTCATTTTATATGACTATCAAATAAAAATTATACATGTAATATCTTGTTGGGAATTTGGAAATTAAGCTCATTGGTACTTTAGTAAAACTTTTGCTCAGAGTATAAATCATTCTTATTCTAGAGTTAAGAATGAGTCGAATCAAATCTATCTTATCTTAATTTGATAAAAATTAACTCTATTCAAATAATTCGAGTTTAATGTGAATGAAATTTAATACACGTTCATTTGGAGACCGAAATTGATATATAGCTAAAATAAACCCTCAAATCATTTACAATAATTTGGTATTTTTGTCCCTCTTTACATGAGTCTAGGACTCTAGGAGTCAAAAATTGGTCACAGACCCTCTCTATTTGAAAAAGAAAAACTGGAAAGTGTTCAGTTTTTAAATTTCACTGCTTCATACATATTAAAAATAATTATTATATATATATAATTAATTAATTATAAATTTTAATTATATATAATAAACTTATTTGTACATTACACATATTAAAATACTAGTAACCAAAATTTTGAAAACTGAATTTTTATAAATAAAAGTTGTGATTAAATGTGTTTGAATCATGAATTCTGTTTTAAAAAGTTCGAAGTTTCATTTGTTTATTATTTGTTGGAAAAGAAAATGGTCGGAAAAAAATATTCTGTTTCTTTCTTCTTCTTTTTTTTGAAAATGGAAGGAGCATTTTGGTGAACTGGTTAGTGGTATTATAGTCCACTTCTAAGGTCCAGCCCAAGCAGTGTTCTTGTTCATAATCATCATCGAACTACTAAACCAAAAGATAAAAATTGTTCCTAAAGTAAATAATTCACTTTAAAATTATTTGTTAACATTATGTGAACATTAAAATAATAAATTATGTTAATATGAAAATATCAAATATTATTTTTCTCTTCAATGACTTAAAATTATTTGCTTTGAACTTTGTTCACTTTACAAAAGCAACTTCCCATACTCAAATATAAGAAATCAACTAACTTACACACTAATTAAGAAAACTAATTAACATCATTTAATTTTACTTAAAAAAATATTTCAGAAATGATATAACTCTAGTATTGATATTGATGAACTATATATTATATTAGAACATCTCTAATAATAATTCTTATAAGTAACTCAATTAAGATTCTTATTTTACTTTAAATTAAATCTAGCATGATGACAAATCATTTCTAAGTAACTTATATTAATTTTTGTAAAAATTCTGTTCTAATGGTGGAAACTTATTAGCAACTCACATTTTTATATAATTTTTTATTTATATTTCACCTTTGACAACTTAAAAAATTAATGTAATTATTATAATTATATTAATTTAATTAAACATAATAAATAATATTTTAATACATATATAAAAATTAATAATAAAATTTACACAATTAATTTAGTGCATATAAAAAATATTAAATATTAAAAGTAACGAAATTAATAATTTGATGCATGACTGTTTCTTTAACTTGTAAGAATAGTTTGTCTTCTCTATTATTTATTCAAAGAATTAGGTCTAAAAGATATTATTTTTTAAATCATAATCAAGATTACTTATTAAAGAGTATTTACTTAAGTTTAAACAATTTGCTATACCATGTAATGTAATCATACTTTAATGAGAATTATACTAGTTAACACTTACTTATAAATAAGATATCCTGCAAGCACTTCCATTAAAATCGCTGTTTGTTCATGTTTTGTGCTATTTTTAGGCATTGCAAACTGTTAAATCATTGACATTTGCAATAGAAAATCGATAAAATCTTTGTTAACTAAAGCATTTAGCTGTTTATCTTTGGCTAACACTGTCAATCGTGTGTATGAACATAAAATCACAGTTACGTACAGCTCCCAATATTCTTCAGAAAGCATGCAGTGAAAGTCAAAATATGAATCTATTCCTTTTTGTGTGTGCGCGCATATTTCTTGGCAGATATCAAAGATTAATTCCATTTAAACATGAAAGTCAATGAAGTGAATTTTATCACTTTCAACATAGTTTTTCATTAGTTTATCGGTTTGATATATCATTTAATCTATGAACTTTATAGGATTTTTTAATTAAGTATTTAAATTAAAAATTTATAATCAAATACTTTATCTTTTTATATTTTTGTCATTTAGTCCTTAAAGTTAGAAATTTATTTACAATCCACAAAATTTTACAAAATATTCTTAATATACATTGATGATAATACGGAATAATAATCGTATATAATTGTCTAGATATTTAAATATTAAAAATATTTTGTAAAATTTCACGGTTTGTAAATAAAATCATAACTATATTGACTAAATTAAAAAAAAAAAAAGTAATTACAATTTTTTTTTTTATTTAAGTACCTAATTGAAATTTTTCAAAACATGGATCAACCGATAATATTAAACCTAGTATATTTAAGGGGCATAACTATTTGATAAATTACGTAAAACATTTTTAATCAAGTATGTTCTTTATTTATAATTAAATGAAATTTAGATAGGAAAAAATCATTTGACATATAGTAAAAGATAAATAGTACATTTTTCCAAAAATAAATACAGTAATCAAAACCAACAACCTTAAGATATTAGGATTAACTTTTCGAAAGGAATATATTGGAAGTGTGAGTTGAAAAGAAAAAGGTTAGAAGTCTTAATAAAATTATACCTCTTACATAGTGTTTAGTTGGAGAGGTTTTTATTCAATATTTTTTTGTTTGGTTTAATTTTTAAGAAGAAAATAGATTAGAGAAGAGAAAAATCCTTCTTCATCTAATTTTACTCTCCTTCAATATTAAGGAGATTTGTAGGGGAATGAATGTATTTTAGAATATTTTTTAATATAATGTTTAAAATTTCTTTACATGTGATTTTAAATTCAAAATTATAAGGAAATTAAGATAAATTGATTTTAAAATCTTTTCTCTTCTTAGTTGAACAAAAATTTGAAAGGTAAAATAGAATATTAAAATTTAAAATTTGTTTTATTTAAGTGCATCTATGTAATCTAGAGAGCATTTTTAACACTTTCCTTTTTGTGGAAGCAACCTTTTATATTTTTTATTCTTATGCTAAATCCAAAAAATCTAAAATTAAAAGCAACCAATATAGTAATAGAATGACCTATAAAAATACGATTGATAACATATAATTTATAAGTTCAAACACGTATCACTTTGAATACGATTGATTGCTTGAGATGTTCAATTCTTGATGAGAAATGAATATATTGAAGATCTCACATTAATTAATATATAAGTGAAAAATAATTATCATCTTACAAATTAGTTTTATAAAGTTAAGTTAGGATTCAATTCATTTTCTAAAAAAGTTCAATCACGAATCACTTTTCATTTATTAATTTAGTTCTTACAAGTATATTTATAATAAAGTGAGATAATTTTTAAGTGTTGAGATTTTGTGCAGTTGTTCAGACAACTCAAATCCCAACAGTTTTACATAACATTACACCACCAACATAGTGTTTCAGCCAACCCGAGGATATATATAAAAGTAGTGATATTATTTCTGGGATGAAGCAGCATGCTTATAAATCAATGGATACCACAAGTGGCGAGTCACCTTTGTCAAGCACAAATGTCTTGGAAATCTTCTTTGTTGGGGTCACAACTTGCACATTGTATGTTCCATGAAAGCCTCTGAAGTTGTATTGACCTTGCTCATCAACATGGCCACGGCTGTGAGACAGCCACTCTTGCTTCAGAGCTAAGAACCTTTTCCCAGCTTCATTGATGTCACCTTCAGCATTCACCAAGTGTGCATTGTCCCTACTCATAAACAACTCCCAAAATCCCCACAGCATTATGCCTTCCACAGCAGGATGAGCCATTGCTTCACGTAGCATAACTTCGAGATCATCTCCTCTAACATATTCATTGATGGAAGACACATCAAGCTCAGTAAACCATATAGGTAGGCCAAGAACACCTAACTTGTCAAGTGAAGAAGAAACAACAGGCCCTATTGGACTGTCTATGTGGCCTTGAATTCCAATTCCCCCAACTGGGGCACCTTGCTCTTGCAAATCAAGAATATGATGGATGTACTTATCTGGACATGATTTGGTGTCGCATCCGTCTTCAACATGGTAATCATTCACAAACAATGTAGCAGAAGGGTCTAGTTGGTTTGCAGTCTTGAACATGTTTGCCCTTATATCCTTTCCTAGCCTGTCTTGGTAGAATGAACCATGCAGCATTTCGTTGTTAACATCATAGTGACTGAACTTGCCCTTGTAGCGAGTCAGCAGGCCGTTTAAGCGGTTTTGGACTGCCGTCATCAAGTCATTGTTGTTCAGTGATTTGACCCACTGCTGAACGGTTCCATCCACTTCCCAGAAGATACAATGACCTCTAGTTTGTATCTTGTGCTTCTGACACAAGGTTAACAGATCATCAGCATCCTTGTAATTCAAATTCCCTTGTTGTGGCTCAGTCCAATACCACTTCAACTCGTTTCCAAACACAGCCCAGTTAAAATGCTTCGCCATGAAGTCAACAAAGTCTTCATTGTCAATGTTTGTTCTACTGATGCATGATCCAATTGGGAAATCATTCTGTGTTTGTCTAACTTGAACTGAGGTGTTAGCATAGCTGCCAGAGTCCAGCCCAGAGAATTTCAGGATAACATCACGTTTACGGATCTGCAGTGCAGAAAGTCAATATCAACAATATTATATAAAAATAATGCAAAGCATCACGTATCCTATCAATGAAGAATGGATCATGTAATATAAAGAGAAGGCGATACAGTCTGAAATATACTCGGCATCATCTAACATTTATTTACTGCCATGGAAAATTTTGATTTGTTCACGAGAAAAATTATGCTTTTTAATAATCTTAGGCAGATTTTAGAGACAAAGCAATTCATGAAATATGTGAGTTAGATGGTCATACAGGACATAAAACAGGAAGGAGGTAAAACAATGAAGTATCACACATCAATCTACATTTACACTGGTTAATGAGTGGTAAATTAGTTAATCTATATACTGGCACCATGCCTATGCGTCAAACTCTAGGATATTATCTGCGTATCACTTGTTTTCTCTTTATATTGGGGGATGGCCAAAGGGTGTTAACCAAATGCTGCTTATTTAAACTACTTCAAGTGCAAGGCAAGTTGGGAACATTCCACAAGTATCCGAAGCTATTCTCTAACACTAATAATGAGATATAGAGGAAAACTTTATGTCACCTTATCTGTTTGGATCTTTAAATATCTAAATCTTGCATGTCTATCCACGGGAAAAATTTGAAGTCCAGCTACCATTAAGTCCACACCAGAAGCAGGACCTTGGACATAAACCATAACCTTTGATGGCTGCTTTTCAATTCTAAAAGATCCACCAATTTCATGCCACATGTCATCATAAACCTCAGTTTGTCCTCCATTGACCCACTGATTGTCCACACCAAGGGCAACATTCACATTCTGTGGCCCTGATGCTCCTGAGCGAATCCGGACCCAAGCAGACACTTGATAAGTCACAAATAGTTTCACTTTATCAGTGATTACCTGAGCAGGACCCATCCATGTCTGTGTTCGATTAGTTACAAGGATGTAGCGCCCACTTAGGAGTTCATGAGGACCAAGAGAATCTCTTGCCATTGGTGGAATTATATGTGGAGAGCCAGTTTTAACACTTAAAGTGCAATTGCCAAGGGGAAACCAACCATTGGTGTTATCAGCCAGACTGCTGTTCTCAATTATATTAACACCAAAAGCAACATTCTGCAAAACAAAATCACTGTTAGGAGCTTGCAACATAGAATTGGAAGCACAACTAAAGTACATTAAGGCAACACTTAATGCTTGTTTCAATCAAATTTTCAGAAAACACTAACCATAATTTTATTAAAGTAATTTTAAAAAAATGCTTCAAAAGTCCAACCTTTACATCAGGTGGGGTTGAAGGAGGTGTTTTAGCTGCATGCTTTAAAACCAAATTATTCAGAAGAATGTCAGTGCTTGGAGGGGGCCCTTCCAAATAAAGGACTACTTTTGATGGAGAACCATTTAGAAGGAATTTTCCCTGCATTGTAACCCAATCTTTATCTGTTGCCTGCACACTTCAGAACACACCAGCTTTGTTCAGCAATTGGAAGAAATGTTAAAGGAGAATACTAATACCATTATATCACTAACTCATCAAAATTCTTTTTTTGTTTATCAAGATTCAAGAATAATAAACAGAAAGTCACATGCCTCAGTCTATGCGAAATACAGTGATAGGAAAGTAAGGCTGAGACTAACCTTGCAATGCCTATATATTGCTCTCGAAGATCCGGTGTTTGGACCCACAAAGTAGCCCGTACATCAGCAGTAGAGACATTGTTTCCAAATATTCTAACTAAAGCAGTGACCTCATAGGCCAGCTTGCGCTGCACGCGTCCAGTGATCTCTTGCTGAATTCCATTCCAGTTCTGTGTGCGTTCTGTTGCAGATGCAAAGAATTTCCCAGACTTGGGAACAATTTTCCCACCATTCATGGAATCGTGCAACATAATCTTGCAGCCTCTTCCAGACCAGTTATTCAGGCCATCATCAAATTGGGGGTTAATGATGATATTGTCATCTCCAGCTGAAACACATCCTGTGCTTGTGGCCTTTCAAAATAAGAGAAAAAAGGCACGAGTTAGTATGTTGAAAACATACAACTAAACAGTTAAACTAGCACAAATTTATTGCAATTTCAATCTAACTACAGAAGAAGTAATAATCAACGCACAAGCATTACCAGTAATACTTTGCCAATATGTACAATTGCATAAAAAAAACAACATTACATAAAATCAATTTCATGATTTACATTATTGTTTGAACTGGAACAGTTGATCTCTACTGATCGTATAAGCAGGTCAACTCCAGGAGCAGGTCCTTCCAAATAAAATATAACCCGATCAGGCATTGTTGACAATGAGAATGTCCCTTCCAACTTTTCCCAGCTATCTTTATTAACAGAAGTTCTGTAGAAAATAATGGCAAGCATGTAAGGACATTTTCCTCAATTTCTTTGAAACAAGGAAGAAGTTACCATGAAATCACAATATTTCATACCTTCCAATGAACAAGTAACTAGTAGCTGAATTGTGATATTCTAGTTTCAGAGTAGCTAGAACATCACTGTGTCCCTGAGAAAGCCCGGATACACCCACACAAGCCGAAACTGTGTAAGTGGAACCAATGGAAATTCTGTCTGTGATGTCTTGCTCAAGGCCTTGCCAGCATTCCTTTCGGTCAGTAATAACAGCATAATTGCCATCAGACTTCATTGAAGTTCCTCCTTGAGTACCTGTTTCAGCTGAAATTACATAGCCATTGCAGTTATTGAGATGCCATGAGTTCAGCCCACTACAGAAGTCATGATTAATTAAAATATTAGCAGTCTTGTTGCCACTTGGATCAGAGGAGTTTCCTGCCATGATCTGTCAAAGAAAACAATATAAGAAAACAATTGGAGCTAAATGTCTAGAAGAAACTCTGTGCATGGTTGATACAGTTTGTTATGTGCTTAACATATTGAGAAGAACTCTCCCAAGTCCCATCTGTTGCCTTCCATAAATAGTGCAGAAAGAGGAGGCAAGGAATTGAATCAGTCCCACTATTTAGTTCATATCAGATTTTTTCTGCAGGCTAGTTTTATTTATTTTATTTTGCCTTGAGAATACACAAGAATGTCTCATTTATTTCTACTTCATTAAACTAAGGTTCCATTTAATTGGTTTCAGCACTAGTCCTTGTTAGTTTGCAACTCACAAACATCTAACACATAATACTTTGCATAAATGTATACATTATTAAATCTAATGCAAGAAAACTCGACAAGGCAAAAATTAAGTTCAGAAACGGAGCTAGAAATGGACATCTGAGAGGCATGATCTCAGTTCCATCCATTTGTGAGGCTACCATGTTCTACAATGTGGCTAATGTAGGACCTTTGTAATAAAGAGAATAAGCTAATCAAGGTGTGCTAAAGCAAAATTCGAAAGGTGCGAGAAATTCATCACTAAAGAAATATGAATCACTAAGCAAACACAATGTGAATGACTTTTGACACAGAAAGAAAGAAACAACCCTCAGGGCTAAGGTACCTGAGACTGAGGTTGGTTGTGCTTCCGGTGAGAGTTAAACTTAGAGATTCTTCTTGTGAAGCAGCAGCAAGAGAACCTCTTCATTATATACCCTCTTGCTCAGCAAATTTGTGAGTGAAGGCTACGGATAACACGGGCCAACCACAAAATTTCCCTCCCACAGATCCTTCATTTGGATATATTATTATTATTATTATCATTATCCAAACTTTGGGATCAAATGAATTTCATAAACAATCAAATAAACCCAATACCCGGAAAAAGAAAAAAAAATCTTCAATTTCTATTTTTCCCGTTCCTGGCCCTGTACTTTTTGCTTTGTCTTGCAGTTTAGTAATGCTTGAATTGGAATGGAAGCCTAAGTAAGAATGAAAGATGCTTTGGTTCCTTAATTTAATGTAAAATATGAGATCCACTAGGATGAGACTTGGATTGCAAGATTTTGCAGTGTTAGGTGGAAATGGCTTTTCCATTCATATTCCATACGTACCACATAATTGGTCCAATTTCCTACGTATATGTATAAACATACAAACTTGAATTGAATAGCACCAGAGAGTAAAACTACTGCCACTACAAGTATAAACACTGTCTCTAGAGCACCTTGCAACATTGAAATTAAAAGAAATGTTTACATGGGTAGTAAATTTACAATAGCTGGTACATTGTGAATATTTGGAATTATGCAGATATAAATGAAAAAGAATTGGTGGAACTATTAGACATAGTGGCTGATACCTTACCTAAATCAAAAATCACTACTTTTATGTCTGTTTCCGGTCCAGTCCGGTCCGACAAAAAACCAACGGTTCGTGCGATTACAACATCGTAGTTAGTGAAAACAGAAACAACAGTGTTTTACGGTTTGAGGATTTGGGAGGAGTCGTAGAGTGGTAGACAAGAGAACTTAACGACACTGTACGTGAGAAGTATAAGGGATCTAATGGGCCAAACCATAACATAAGAATCTCCTGTCAGAATTAGATCCAAGATGCTAAACAGAGTGTATGTGTATGTTATTGACTCATACTATTCGCTGGTAAGTACACATATATTAATTATTTTTTATTAAAATATTCATGATTAAAACATGTTGTTTTGACTTGATAAAATATATTAATTATAGATTCTTTAAAAGATATGGTTTTAATTAATTCAGAAAATAAATAATATTAATTAAAAAAGTAGTTTTAGAAAAATATAAAAATAAAATAAGTTTATTATCATTAATTAAATTAATGTTTTTTCATTTCTTTAAATTTACATTATTACATCAATGAAAAATATAGACAAATATTATCACTTTTTTTTTTTAAATAACCGATAATTTTATATGATTGCATTAAATAAATTTCATTTTAATCAGAAAAGGAATTTAAAATTTATGACTCTTTAGCTTCTTTTTCTTTCCCCTTAGTTGACACTCTTAAATTCCTCACTCCTAAAAAATTATCCTATGATATTAAAGTTTATTGGATAGTGGTTAAAATAAAGTAATTCACAAACAAAATAGCGGGCAGCCATACCTTTTTCTTCAAAGGATAAAAAATTTTAAACTGTTATTTCACAAAATATGACTAAAGTTTCTTATATCAAAATTAGTCAAAAGTAATTGAAATATTTAATGCTAGTAGATGAGCCATTCCTTTTCTTCATACCAGAAACGAAAGAGAGGACTTCAAAAGTAAAAAACTATGAATATAGTTAAAACGGTTTAGATACAAATAAATCTTATATCCATAAAATAAGAGAAGAAATAATAATTTATAAAACACATACATATTTTAATGAACTTTAATAATTGAGAGTTTTTTTTTTATTAAGAAGTTTTTTAAGTGATAATTAAAAGTAAAATTATAAAAGTTTAGATTTAAAGCGGACAATATCTCATCATAATAACTTTTATAAAATATTCTCATATAAATACCATAAAAATAAAAAACCATCAAAACCAAAATTTCATTCATGATTTTCTCATACATAGCCATGATTTTGAGACTTAGCCACTGTCAATCGTATGAAATGAAAGGAAACATGGATCAATGAAAACAACCTACACACCTTGTCCTTAATTCTTCGTCTCAGCTTCTTCCTCTCATAAAGTAGATTCTCGTCAGGATTCTACTTATTATGGCCCTGAAGAGAACCAAAAATGCCAAAGCAGAATTTTTTTTTTTATTTTTTATTACATAAGTGTTAAAGCAGAAAGAAACCAAAACCCGAAAAACTAAAGAACAAAAAATATAATCATCATGGCTAGCTATTTCTAGCCAAACTATCTACGAAGCACACATGTCCCTGCAGTATCCTTCATGAGTAATTCCTTCATGTTCACAGGGGTTTCTTCCAAGATCACAATACCTTTAGATGATACCACACCTTTTTTAGCCAAAAAATCTGCACAAAAGTCTCCCTCTCGTAGGATATATATAACTTGACAGTTCCAATGTCTTGATATTAGCTCTTTAATCTTATCCAGCAGTACAACATACCTATGGTAATGTGAACTATCTCGTTGAAGCAATTGAACCACATATAAACAATCAGACTGAAACACACATGGGAATATCTGCGTTCCCAACATAGTGCGAGACCTCTCCACATGGCCACAAGTTCTGCATGGAGGTTATTACTAATTCCAATACTACCAAAGAATCCAACCATGAACATACCCGTATTATCACGAGCTAGGCCTCCCACACCTGTTACCCCTGGGTTTGTTAACACACTCCCATCAACATTTATTGCAACCCAATCTCCTTCCTTTGTTGTCCACCTCATCAGATGAGTACTCCTCTGCTGCCATATAATCCCTTGCACAAGTTCACCTCCATAAGCTCTCCTAATAGCTGAGCACTATGTGCTAACCCAAACCTTTAAATTAGCCACCTTATCCAACTTTCCATTAAAGACCATATTATTTCTTGATCGCCAGATAACTCAGAGTAACACCGGAATGATGTTACCTTGTTCCTCTACCAAACACTTCAGCCATTCCTTGATCTTTTCTGAACCTGCAGGTGGGTGAGGTTTACACAAACCAAGAGTACTCCAAAGTGCACTAGTTCGCGGGCAATCCAACAAATAATGCAGAAGAGTTTCCTGTTGAGCATTACACACTGGACAATTACTATTATCGATGATACCCCGATGGACCAGAGCCTCCCTAGTTGGCAACGCTTCATGGCAACTTTGCCATAAGAAGAACTGAATTGAAGTTGGTAAGCAGGTTCACCAAATCCAAACCCAATCCATTTCCTCAAGCTGATCAGATTGTCGTCGAAATAGTCATGTATATGCACTCTTGACTGAATACAATCCTGTCAATTCTGTCTTCCAAGTCCAAACATCCCTAACGTTCTCAGATGACATCTAGTTCACCGCCATTACTTCCAAACCAATATCATCTGGTATTTGGGTCGCAAGCCTTCCAAGTTGCCAAACTCCATCAACATAGACATCTGCTACCGTGAGTTCAGCATCACTAATGTGAAGCCATGGGACACGCGTCCCCAAGGGCTTCTTTGATAGCCAAAGGTCCGACCAGAAACTGCATTTACCATTTCCAAGTTTCAAACTAAATCCCTCTTGCAACCAAGACATGGCTTTCCTAATTGCATTCTACACATTCGAACCAGGCTTCATACTTGCCATAAACAAATTAGTATTGCCAACATATTTCCTTGTAAGCATTTTTACCCACAGCTTCTGACTACCTTGAAGGAGTTCCCAAATTAACTTGCCTAACATGGCAATATTTTGAAAGCGAGCTATTCGCACCCCGAGTCCCCCGTGCTTTCTTTCCTTGGTTACATGATGCCATCCGACCATATGCAAACCTCGACCACCCCCTCCCTTCCAAATAAAACCTTGACTAACTTTATCCAAATACTCACACACATACGATGATAACCACTGAATTTGCATGTGATAAGTTGGAAGAGAAGTCAAAACAGAATTAACCAACGTCACCCTTCTCGGTTTATTAAGTAATCTTCCTTTCCATGATGCTAGTCGTGATGTCACACGGTCAACAATCCCAGCATAGTCATCCCTTGAACCTCTTCCACTGGACAACCTAAAGCCCAAATGTTTATCCAACTTCTGCGTGAAGATGATACTCAAGCTTTTTGATAGCTCCTTCACCATGGATCTAGGAACTGCCCTTCCTGCCAAAGCTCTAAATTTCTCAATGTTCACCCTTAAACCTGAAAACTTACAGAACTCTTGCAATACCTTCTTTATTACCCGGGCCTGCGATTGCTTTGCCTTGGCAAAAAGAAGTACATCATCAGCAAAAAACAAATGTGAGATATGAGGGCCCTTCTTGGATATACAGATAGGCTCTCAGTGTCCCTGTTGTACCTTTTCAGAAATCATGCTCCCTAATCTTTCCATACACAACACAAACAAATATGGAGATAGAGGATCTCCCTGTCATAGCCCGCATCGAGGATTGAAAGCATCCGTCTTGCTCCCATTCCATAACACCGAGATGGTTGTTGAAGAAATCCCATGCATAATAAGAGAAATTATCACCTTCGGAAACCCAAAAAGTTGTAGGGTATTCTTTAGAAAGTCCCAATTTACCCAATCATACGCCTTCTCCAAGTCTAATTTAAGTACCATAGACCCTTTCTTTTTCTTTGATTTGGCCATGTAATGCAACACTTCCTTTAGAATAATAGCATTGTCTGTTGTCCCTCGCCCAAGAACAAAACTGCTTTGAAGAGGGCTCACCATATCTGCTATATAAGGTTGTAATCTAGCAACTATGACTTTAGAGATCAGCTTATATACAACATTACATAAAGATATTGGCCGAAACTCGTTAATTCTTACTGGATGATCAATCTTTGGTATAAGAACTAATAAAGTTTCTGCTATCCTCTCATCAAAATGGCTAGTTCTAAAGGCATTTTCTACTAGCCTCCACACATCCTCTCTAACCACATTCCAGTACATTTTATAAAATATCGCTTGAAAACCATCAGGCCTAGCAACTTCTAACGGGACAAGCCTACCCTGCGACCCCTCTATAGAACAAAACAAGTTTCGATAATAATTAACCGCCTCGGTTTTCAACAATAAAGGCTCCGTACATGAAAGGTCGCAACAAAATAAAAAAGAATGCCACAGCAGAAGAAAAACGAAAGGATGGAAGTGAGAAGAGAGAGACTAGTATAACTAAGTTAATTTATGTTTTCAATGTCTTTGCATCTGCACATTTTCAAACTTGTAATAACGTGTTAGTTTCCCATGCTAGTGAAACTATAATGTAATTAAAGTTAAAATTACAAAAGCCAGAAGAAGGATGTGAGAGATGGTAGAGGAAGTGGTTTCACGCTTCCACTGTTGTATTTGCATGTTTAGTAACCTACATTACACAAATGACGTGCCGAACAATTTTTTTAGTTAATTTACCAAATTATCCTTTTCTGAGCCAGCTATTTAGGTAGGAAAAAAAATTTCCTAGTGTATCCAACTTAGAGTAATAAAGGATATTAGTACTAAAAGTTTAAAGTAGCATTTTTTTTTTGAATTTATAAGACTTTAATGTTTTTTCCTTTAACTATTTTTAGAAATTAAATTTAGTTTTAAACATGAACTTGTTTGAAAAACAAAACTTTTTGTGGGACTTGTTCTTTATTTGATCTGCTATTGAAAAAACTGGGATTGAGACTCCCAGA